ATGCCATCGTAGACTTCATACTGGAGAGAAACCTTACAAGTGTAATGAGTGTGGCAAGACATTTAGTCAGAAGTCAAACCTTACATGCCATCGTAGACTTCATACTGGAGAGAAACCTTACAAATGTAATGAATGTGGCAAGAACTTTAGTCAGAAGTCATACCTTACATGCCATCGTAGACTTCATACTGGAGAAAAACCTTACAAGTGTAATGAATGTGGTGAGGTTTTTAATCAACAAGCACACCTTGCAGGTCATCATAGAATTCACACTGGAGAGAAGACTTAGAAATGTGAAGCATGTGACAAAGTTTACAGTCGCAAATCAAGCCTTGAAAGACAGGAGAATTCATACTGTAGAGAAAGCTTACAAATGTGAAGAATGTCACAAAGTTTTCAGTCGCACATCAAACCTTGAAAGACGTAGGAGAATTCCTACTGGAGAAAAACCATAAATATGTAAGAGTTTGTGGCAAGGCTTTCAGGCGTGATTCGCACCTGGCACAGCATCCTAGAATTCACACTGGAGAGAAGCCTTACAAGTGTAATGAGTGTGACAGAGTCTTTAGTGGGCAGTCAACACTTGTTTACCATCAGGCACTTCGTGGTGTAGGTAAACTTTACTGATGTAATGATTGTCACAAAGTCTTCAGTAATGCTACAACCATTGTGAATCATTGGAGAATCCATAATGAAGAGAGATCATACTAGTGTAATAAATTTGGCAGATTTTTCAGATGTTGTTGATACCTTGCAGTTCATCGGTGAACTCATGCTGGAGAGAAACCTTACAAATGTCATGATTGTGGCAACGTCTTCAGTCAAGCTTCATCCTATGCAAAACATAGGATAATTCATACAGGAGAGAAACCTCACAAGTGTGATGATTGTGGCAAAGCCTTTACTTCACACCTCATTAGGCATCAGAGAATGCATACTGGACAGAAATCTTACAAATGTCATCACGGTGCCAAGGTCTTCAGTCTGAGTTCACTTCTTGCAGAATATCAGAAAATTCATTTTGGAGGTAGTTTTTCCAAATGCAATGAGTAGAGCAAACAATCAAGCATTAATTGGCATTAGAGTCAATTCAGCGTTGACTTGAGTTTGAGTTGACTTAACGTTGAGGTCAAGCATTAATTGACATTGAAGTGTTTATGTTAAGAGGATTGGGCCAGGCGCAGTGGCTCACACCTGTAATCCAAGCGCTTTGGGAGGCCAAGGTGGGTACATCACTTGAGGTCAGGAGTTTGAGATCAGTCTGGCCAACAGATGTGAGCCATTTTCCCTGCGTGTTTTTCATTTCTTTAACAAAAACTGATAGGGATTTTTATGGGTATTGTGTTGAATCTAAATCACCTTGGGTTATATAATCATTTAACAATATTAATTTTTCCAAACCATCAATATGGGTTGTAGCTCTATGTTTTTAATCATTTCAATCAATGTTTGTAGATGTCAAGGTACAAATTTCTGACCTTTTTATGTTTGTTTCTTTTTGTTTTTTTTTTTTGAGATGGAGTCT